GTAGCCCATCTTGAGCCTAAATAGATCATGAACAAAGTTGTTGTGGTTCTAGGAGAAAGAATCACCTTGAACTGAAAATAGCTAACAAACTTTCAGCCAACTTAGTTCATGTTTTTAAGCAATTTCACATATCGACTATAGATAGGTTACTAAGATAATATTGTCTTATAGCGGTTTTTTGAACTTGTTTTTACATATTGGTCTTATTGTCAGGGAAACCTAAAGGAACGTACCTTGTCCAGAGCTTCGGACCTTGGACTTGGTAAACTCTCTGGCGTTTCGATGGCATCGTAGTCTGCAGTGTCAATAAGCCTTACGGTTCAAAGCACGACACTACAACTCATTACAGGTTAAAGTATTTAAATGTATTAAGTCTCGGTCAGACGCTGGAAAGTATCATGGATACTTTTGGCTCCGGACAAGCTGCTTTTCTCTAGGACCAAGTTGCAAAAATAAGATAACGAAAAGAAACCATGGCCATACTCAAGGCCACATCATCTTAGTCTTCATAACTTCTTTACATTCCTAGCCAGTTCACAGGAGGGTAGACATATCAGTTGTTTGTCCATTATTCGTCTTCTGTTGTCTTCCTTGTTTTATCAACTTGACACGGTGATTGTTATTACTCTTATTACTTTATATACCACTTTTTACATCTCTTTTTACTACGATATTTTATTTTCCACTTTACCAGCACGTTAGTTCATATCATGCATCGGGAAACCGAGCTGGCCGTCAAGAGACAGCTTTGAATCCTCACCATAACTATTTCTTGCTGGCAGACAATGGTACTTCGGGTAAGTTTGGTAGCGAACTTTGCCTTCGTCGACGCCTGGAACAATATCTGGCCCAGCAACCGATTGATATGCGGCGATATGGTGAGTGGCTGATATTCATTCTTGCCTTAGCCTCTCTATATAGGTGGCTTGATTGGCAGTAGACCAAAATGGCTTCTACCATTTTACGCTTTTATGATTACATTAAGCCAAATCAACAAAATGCTTAGTAGAAGTGGGCTGACCTCGTGGCAACTTTGTCTTGTTGTTGACTATGTAGAAGCACCTAGTCCGAAGTCGTCTGTCATAGTAGTTGTCATGATTTCGAGCATCTGGCAGTGGACTTAATACATTCTCAAACGTTTCGCCGGCATCGTAGTCGGCATCATCAATGAGCTTTGCCATTCTCCGCACCAAGCTACGAACTCATCAAAGAGACAAGTGACGTCAATTCCTCGACAACCGTTCTGACGAAAACGGTTACACTATCACTCCTCTTTCTGTCATTGCCTATCTATCTACTCATTACACTCTTGAGTGGATTGAACCCGAGTGAAATCGGTTCTGTGACCTTAAGAAACCCTACCACTCGGAAAAGGTTAATGAATATCTCCAC